CTATATATATATATATATATATATATATATATATATATATGAAAACAATATGTTATTATATTACTAAACTTTATATTTGTTATTTTTATCTGTGATAAATTTTCTCACAATACTAATGGGATATATTTAAGAACATTTCCAATTTACTATTATTTCTTCTAATGAAGAAATACATCCATATGCTATTGTTTTGTTGTTGATAATTTTTTATTTATATCTACTGATTAAACTTGGTATTTAAACTTAAAGATATATAGATCAACAACATATGTATGTCGTTCAATAAAAAATTTCATAAACTAGCCAAGACTTTAGTGTTGTTACATTCTTCCATTTTATTTGAAACTACGTTAGGTGTTTCTATTAAAAAGTGAGTTTTAAGCCTAGTTCAACCCATAAAATCGGCTTGTATGGTGAGGTTTGCACCTCACTTATATATTCTAAGTTGGTCTTATTCTAGTCGATATGGGACTTCCAATACACCCCATTCACGTCGAGGTATAGACATCTCGAGCGTGATAGTAGAAATGGGTGGTCCGATAGTGGCCCAACAACAGGTGGAATAGAAATGTCCAAGAAACAAGAAATATCACTAGGATAAACTCTAACCATGACTTTGATATCATGTTAGAAAGTGGGTTTTAAGGCTAACTCAACCCCACAAAACCGGCTTATATGGTGAGGTTTGCACCCCACTTATATATTATAATTTGGCTTTATTCTAATCGATGTGAGACTTCCAACCGTTTCTACAAATTTTTAAACTTTTTTATCCAAATTTTGTTCAATATATTTTATTACATGTTGTGATCAACTTGTAATTGAAAATTAAGGTTGCCCAAAAAATAGATTTCAATTGTTTTTTTTTTTAAATGTCTTAAAAGCATGAACTTATTTAGATAGAAAAACTAATCAGAAACCCATTAACAACTACTGGTATACCAAAATAAATATTCACACATTTTAGAAAAAAAAGGTTAAAAATAAAATAAAAATATCTTGAAATTAATAGTGTCAAGACATATTTAATTTCATGATATTAATATAGTCAATGAATTTGAGTTTGATTATATTTTAAAAAAATTATAAATTTTGATATAAACCAAAATGGAATCCGTTCGTTAAGAACTTAACTTAGATTATACTCGTGGCGAGCCGCATTGATACTAATTCATCCATAAATTTTAAATTCTATTAAAAATTTGGAAAGTCTAGACTTAAACCATCTTAAGTTATTGGTTTATCAAATTAATATTATAATATTATAGATTGAACAATGATTTGATGTTAGATAATAACTTATTTTATATTTTTGTGTTTTATGATTATATTTAGAGTTTAAATATTTTAATTTTAAAAATAAATTAAGAACTTGTTAAACAAGAAATAAAAAGAAAGAAAGTGTAAAAAGAGAGATACGTAACATTTGAGAGAAAATAAAAGAGAGCACAGTGAGACAGAGAAATTGAAGAGAAGAAAAATATTATTTTCAGAAGATAACGAGTATGAGAAGCTTATAGTTGTCTTGTTGTATGATAATGTGAACGTGTTCATGAATTTTATTTGATCTTATTTAATTATGGATGTTTATAATTGTTAATTTAATTTTGAATGCTT